ATCCATGACATAGGTATCATTACCATCTTTTTCTTCTATTTGAAGCAGCTTGGTTTTGTAGACTTATAAGAACAAAGACAGAAACAATACTCAATTAGACAGCTGATTATTTTTCACCATGAGCGGCATAATCAGTGAGGCACAGGTGCTGCTAGTTGTCTATGGAGATTCCCAATCATCCAGGTCATGGTTGTCCCAAAGATGCTTTTCCAAAAGGCAACTGGATTTCCTTTCTTACCAAGAAAGTCCAGTTGCCTTTTGGAAAAGCACCTTTGGGACAGGTACTGCTAACGTTTCCACCTAGACTATGGACACTTCCAGGCTGGATCTTTGTGGCAGTCTAGAATCTTCCAGGTGTGGCCACTGAGTACTAGCTCCACTGTGGGGTACATGGAAGCAAATTGTGTATTTTCTCTAGAAGTGCCCTGGTTCTATGAGTGTGATACTATTATCAGTCATGTGAGGTAGTCCAGACAGGATTTATTTTATTTAGCGTATGGCAAATACATGGCCTTATAGTGGTTCAAATGTTAATGCCCAGTCCACCCAGTCATTCAAGGACATTCTTCCATACAGGAAGTATGGCCAGATGGACTAAAATTACTTTATTGTAAGCTTGCATTAACAGAATCTTGCAAGTCTGAAAGTGCATTATTTCCTTTTTTTAAAAAAACATGTTTTATTTACAGTTTTCTTTTCATACCATAGATATTTTGTGGACAGTGCACTGACGGAGTCAAATCTTTTTTAAACAACGCTAACAATAATAATACAAATAAGTATGTGTAATCCTAATCTTCCAACTTCAGCAATACTATTCTCTTTCTATAATTCTTTATCATTTTCCCCATTAATTCATTTAAACATAACATTTTTTGTGCCATGTATCTGTTATCCCCTACTAAATTACTAATATTTAATATTTTAAAAATTACTCATTATTCCACCATAACGTCAATATTCCAAATTAATGTTAATACAATTAGATTACCTAATTCTAAATTTCCATCTACTAAATTTAACTTATTTTTAGTTATAAGATGTATTATCTGTTAATATATATACTATTATTTTCCCTATTTGTATTTTTCCATTTTATTAATATATTTTCTCATTATTCATAATCTCTTAACTTTTTTGAAATTCCATCATTTATTGACTTTTTAGTCAGCCATTTATCTCTCTCTCTTGGAATCTTGTAGCTCTTTTTGATATATTTGCATAGAAATTTGATATATTTGACTAGAAAAAGAGGGTGGGAGAAATACTTTCAGTCTTCACAAATCTGTTTAATGTAACCTTATGCTAAAGATTCTGCTGATGTGCCTGGTTACTCTTCCTGTCTGGGCTACCTCACAGGGCTAAGCTTCCAAGAAATCCTTTCCTCCTTTTGTGAAAACTTTCTCCTCACTCCACTTCACAGTACTGTAGTGTTTAAGCTCTGGGTTTTGAAGTTGGGGCCATGCAGATTACTGCACTTTGGCTTCATGTTGCTTTTTGAAGAATTGAGAGTGAAAACAGTGAGTGTGTGCAGCATGGAAATGTTCTCTGAATCTCAGTGTTTTGGCTCTGCTTACTCATTGATACAGATCTGTTTTTAGGAGCCATGAATTGTTATGCTACACTGGAAGGTAAATAACACACCAACGAACTCTGAAACTAGCCTGACAGAGGCTAGCACTAGCTAACATGGCAGCACTTTCTTGAGGGCAGCCAAGTGCCTTTTGAGGTGTGGACCAATCACAAAAATATGGAGGCACTCAACCCCCCCCCAAAGACTCTCCCCAAAACAACTCCGATGGGCGCAGTACTTTAAATAGTTTAACTTTGAGTTGAAATACATCCAGGGTGGATGACTCACGTAAACCACAACATGACAGCAAATGTGAGGAGGTGGTCCATGCCATGCTCCCTCCCTCCCAACTGGCAGCACAAGCCACAACCAGGGGACAGGCGAAGCGGCAAAGAAACACGGGGGGCATGGGGGTGTGATGAACCAAAGGCTAAAAGATGAACTACCGAACGACCCATACTACCCATGGACAACATGGGAGTGCTGACCCTCAAAGTTGGACTAGCGTGGAAAGGTTCAAAACTATACATGCCCAATAGTCTACAGCTCCAAATACTCCAGAAAAGTCACAACTCCAAGCAAGCGGGGCATTTTGGTTATGTAAAAACCCTGCACCTGGCTAGAAGGCAATTTTGGTGGCCAAAGATAAAGAAGGAGATTGAGGACTATGTCAAGAGCTGTGCCACTTGTGCAGCCATGAAAAAAAGACCATGAAAACCCCCAGGACTGCTCCAATAAGTGGCAGATCCATCCCAGCCCTGGGAGGAGATTGCCATGGACTTCATTGTAGAACTCCCTGATAGTGGGGGAAATGCGGTCATTTGGACTGTAATAGACTTATTCTCTAAACAAGCCCATTTCATAGCTTGCACTGATCTCCCATCTACAAATAAGCTGTCCAAATTGATTGTGAAACACATCTATAGGCTGCATGGGGTTCCCTGCAGGATCATCTCTGAAAGGGGGTCCAATTCACCACCAAGTTCTGGAGTGGGTTCATAAAGTCCATTGGATCCTTTCTTTTCTTGCAGGAAGTTCTTTCTCTTAACTCTGTCAACTTTGAAGCTAGCCTGACTGAGACCATCTTGGAGGCTTCATTTTTGCCACAATGGTGATGAGAAATAGAGGTGGGGGGGAATAGAGATAGTTGGGGTTTTGTAGCCAAAACAAAATAGTTTCTCCTGAGAACCAAGGACATTTCCACAGATGGCTGAAGAGAGGAGGAGTATAGTTTCCAAGCAACCAGACAGCACCTTGATTGGACCATGTGACTGATTGTTTGGGAAAGGAGGGAAAACCTTTAGTTTTAATTAAGTGAAAACTGCGGGGACCTTTAGAGTTGGTTTTTACCAGTCTGGGCCAATATGATATATACAATAAACTTGTTCTTTGAGGAAACTGCTTGCCTCGGAGTTCTGTTTGCTATGGGTGTATTACTTGAAATCTTGACACAAGCAGCACCATGTCAACTAGAAAAATATCACTGCAGGATGAAGGTGTGTATTCTGAGGGTAAAAAAATCCATTTTATGAATAAATTCAAAATGGCTGCTCCAAATCATGACTTCTTGTTAATTAGATGTAGACAATGAAAGACACCACTACTTTATTAATAAGATTCTACAATATAAATACCATAATCCACACTTGGATCGCAGGCTTTTTCCATTCGTAACGGAAGATCAATCTTTTCCTGCTGGTTGAGCAAGGAACAGGTTTCTTCAAGGGGAGAAAAGAGAAGACAGAATGTTGGATTGATTGTTGAGGATACATGTTCTGATTTAAAAGACATGGCTAGGGCAAAAAGTAGCCAGCACAGAGCAGATAACATCTCATTTTTAGAAGACATAAATAATTATGTCTTTGATAATCAGAAAAAATAAGACTAATTTAAATGCAAGACCCTACTATCTAGAGCTAATTACATAATTACTTGATAATGTGGCATTTCAAATGCTTGCTGCCTTATTTTTTCTGAAAAGAAAATCAGATAAGATTTGTACTATATTTAAGGAACAAAGAAAACACTGGGTTTTTCAAAGGCAATCCTGACATAAGGTTTATTATGCTCTGAAATAATAATTCAGTAATAACAGAATAATAGATTTGGGACTAGTTGGAGGTCTTCTAGTCCAACCCCCTGTTCAGGCAGGAAACCCTATACCTGTGCCAGAGGTCCCAGAGGTGGCACGGAGCACCCTTTCTGTGGGCACATGAGCCGTCACCCCAGTTCAGCTCCACTGCACATGCGTGCGCATCTCCCACCGGGCAGCTGGTCTTCGGGTCTCTGCCACGCATACGAAGGGCACGTGCAAGGGGCCATGCAGATGCACAGGGGATGAGCGCATGCGTGGGGGGGTGAGCGCATGCGCGGGGAGTGGGGGGTGGGGGGCTGCACGAGAAATGCATTTTGAGGGTTCGGGAGCATGCGCTTTTGGCCTCAGTCGGGAAAAGGTTAGCCATCACTGCCCTATACCATTTCAGACATTGTCCAATCTCTTCTTATAAACCACCAGTGTTGGAGCAACCATTTTCTGGAGGCAAGTCATTCCACTGATTAATTCTAAATGTTAGGAAATGGCTCCTTAATTCCAGGTTGCTTCTCTCCTTGATTAGTTTCCATTGCTTCTTGTCTTGCATTCAGGTGCTTTGGAGAATAGGCTGACCCCCTCTTCTTTGTGACAGCCCCTTAGATATTGGAACATTGCAATCATGTCACCCCAGTCCAGGGGTGGGTTCTACTTACCTTTACTACCGGTTTGCAATGGGGCCGAGCACACGCTCTTCTGCGCATGCGCAGAAGCGTTTTGATGACATCAGGGTCGGTGGGCGGACCCTCCCGCCGGTTTTACTACCAGTTCTATAGAACCGGTGCGAACCGGGGGCAACCCACCACTGCCCCAGTCCTTCTTTTCTCTAGGTAGACATACTTAATTCCTGCAACCATTCTTCACATGTTTTAGCCTCCAGCTAATCATCTTTGTTAGTCTTCTTTGCACTCTTTCCAGAGGTTCAACATCTTTTTTATATTGTGGTAACCTAAATTGGATGCAATATTCTAAGTGTGGTCTTACTAAGGCATTATAAAGTGGTACTAACACTTCACATGATCTTAATTCTATCTCTCTGTTAATGTAGACTAAGACTGTGTTGGCTTTTTTGGTAGCTGCAGCACACCACTGGCTCATATTTAAGTGATTGTCCACTAGGACTCCAAGATCCTTGGCGCAGTTATTACTATTGAATCAGGTACTACTTATACTATACCTGTGCACTTGGTTTTTCTTGCCTAAATATAGAATCTTAACTTTTCTCTATGCTGAATTTCATTTTGTTAGATAAGACACAGAGTTCAAGTCTATCGAGATCCATCTGCATTTTGAGCCTATCTTCCAGAGTGTTGACCAGCTTGGTATGTCCCAACTTACCTTCTGCACATCGGCAAATGTTACCATCACATATCTTATTGAGAAGGCCTGTTCCTTTATCTGGATGGTAGAATCTGGTACATTGTTCATCTAATGGAAGAATTAAAAGTTATGTCGACATGTCACATCAAGAAATTTATGATGATTATAGATTTAATTACTTAGAAAGACAAAAGAATAACCCATTTTTCTCAAGGAGATTTCCAATTTAGGACAGGTGTCACCTGACTGTGCAATGGAAACTTATTAAGAGTGTTGATTGGCTGATTGAGTTTTGTTAAGCATTTACCTGAGAAGCACAGAGCCCTACAATGCAATAAGATAGATAAGAGAGGATATCCCATTATCTAATGGAGTTAGGAAGTTACAACATGGACATCTGTAGAATTCTGCAAATAGTATTGAATTGCAAGTTTTGGGCATGCATGCAATGCCACAATTAACATATAAAATGTTAATTTTAGAGCCTTGGTAGTACAATGGTTTAATGCACCCTGTAATTAACACAGCTGCCTGCAATTTCTGCAGGTTCGAATCTTACCAGGCTCAAGGTTGACTCAGCCTTCCATCCTTTCTAAGGTAGGTTAAATGAGGACCCAGATTGTGGGGGCAATAAGCTGACTTTGTATAAATATACAAAAGTAGGAAGGCTATTGCTTAACGCATTGTAAGCCACCCTGAGTCTCCGGAGAAGGGCGGCATATAAATCAAATTTTAAAAAAAAATGTGTGGGGCTTCTGGTGTGACAATATAATGTTTACATTTCTCATTTTAGCCCCCTTTGATGCCTCCTTATATGTGCCATGTTTCCATAACATAAAATAGACTATAGGTAGTCCTCAACTTATAACCACAATTGAGGCCTGAATTCTGGTCATAAATCATTGCTGTCATATGTTGAGTCTTCACATGACCAAACTTTGTTTTATAACCATTTTAATTATGGTTGTTAAATGAGTCATTGCAATAGTTGAATCTCATGGTGATTAAGCAAACTACATGGTTGTAAGTCTGGATCCAGTTTATCAAATGGGAGGTTTTTTGTGGGTGACTACCTATAGTTATGATTCTTATAGTCTGTTATAAAACCAATTTCTTCTAGTATTAAAGTCTCCAATTTTAGGGAGCTTCTGTGCAATATCACATATGATACCCTGACTCTGGTATTAGCAGTACCAATACTAAAATATAGTATTATTGTTTTCACTTAGTAATCACAATCAGGACAAGCAATTTGATTGCTAGGCAGAAAATCCTATGACTGCAACTGAATTTATGACCTTACATCCCCTTGATCATTAATCAAAGGGATGCAGTTACAGAGTGAAAAATAACATGATTATGACTTACAATTTTACTGCCACCTTTCAAACCGTACCATATTAATTCTGCTATTCCAAGCAAACGTGTGCTGGTCGCAAATGATATAAATGGCAATCACATGACTGAGGGATGCAACAATAGTTATAAACTGAAGGATTAGACACAAGGTTATTTTTTTAGTGCCATTGTACCATGGCTGTCAATAAGCAAAGCCTATAGATGCCTTATAATTGAAACTGTAGGCCAATACATGTAGTCCTCGACTTACAACCACAATTGAGCCCAAAATTTCTGTTGCTAAGTGAAACATTTGTTAAGTGAGTTTTGCCCCATTTTACAATCTTTCTTGCTACGGCTGTTAAGTGAATCATTGTAATGTTAAGTTAGTGACATAGTTGTTAAATGAATCTAGTTTCCCCATTGACTTCGCTTGTCAGAAGGTTGCAAAATGTGTTCACATGACCCTGGGATACTACAACAGTCATTGAAGGATTAGTCACAAAATTATTTTTTAGCACCTTTGTAATTTTGAACGTTTGCAGCATCCCATGTGTGTTGGTAAGCAAATACTACAAGTGCCTTATAAGTGAGACTACAGGCCATATTTTCACCGCAGTTAACAAGACCTAGTGAGAGTGGGATCAAAATGGGGACAAATTGACCTTCCAGGCAAGTTAGTTAGCCTGCCCGAGCCCTTTGACACAGCAAGCGATCTTAGGGTTGCGTCTATATGCAAAATCAGTGCAAATGCTTTGCGCAGCAGAATGTCTTGGATGGGCACATCCTTTCCTGAAATTAAAACTCAACCCATTGATCTGTGCTGCCAACAAAAGGGAATTAGAACTGGTCATGGGTGTCTGTCGGTTCTGGTTTCTCATCATTTCCATCTTGGCAAATATGTCAGGTCTGATTAGTTAGACTGGAGATTTTTTAAATCAATTATTTTGTATTCTTTTAACATTTCAGAAATGTGTATGCATTTGAGGGTATGTTTTCCAAACAAAGTCTTTTTTGCAATTTTGCCACTAGATACAGGTTTTACAGGTAATTTTCTCTGAAGTATTCTCATGATTTTGCACATTTCATGGTTAAAGAGCTGCACTGAAAATGCTATTCAGAAATAAAAATGATAATGAACTTTCAAAATACTAATTAGAATGGCAAAACTCTTCCTCAGCCAGGATAAGCTCAGTACCACATTTCCCCCCTAAAGATGAGCATCACGTTGCCCACCTGAGTAAAGAAAAACAGGATCTTGGTGTCACTGGCTTTGTTCTCTGCCCCTCAGGAGGCAAGCAAAGGAAACTCAGACCAGAAGGCTGCCGAAGCATTGGACTGAGCTCTGTGTCACTACCTTTAATATACCTTCAATATTCCCAAATGATTCATTCTTCACCTTTTATAAAATTGTTATAAAGAGATTTTTGGAAAATCAAGAATGTTTTTATAAACTATCAATTGTTGTTGGGCTTTTTGCCTAGTTTTTCCAAGCTTCAATACCATTGAGTTCCTTTGGAAAGAGCCAGTGTGGTCTAATGGTAAATGCACCAGGCTAGAAAGGGGGAGGAGTCCATGAGTAAAGTCCCACCTTAGCCATGAAAGCCAACTGGATGACTTTGGCCAAGTCATTCTCTCACAACCTGACTCACTTCACAGAGTGTTGTTGTGGGGAAATTAGGAGGAGAGAAGTGTATTCAATACATTTGCCATTACCTAGATTGTAGTAGCTGTACACCTTGACTGATCCTGGCTGAATGAAACCAACTTCAAAATGCTTGAGAATCTTAAATTGCAGGCATTCATTCTCAGAGTGGGAGACCTGGGATGGAGAGAGAAAATAATTTGTGGGTGCCAGTTTATCCATGGAGATAATCCCCCCCCCCAAAAAACCTCCATCCGAATAACCTCAAGGAAACTGCTTATTCCACATTCCTTAGGTTTGACCCAGTGATTGAAGGACTAAATTCTGCAAATCTGTCCAGGTTTCCCAGAATAAGGGGTAAACAATGGAAATGGTGAGAGGACCTGCAGGTTGAAATGGTGTCTCAGAAAATATTGGTCAAAAGTTAGAGAATTAACACATGATTCCTGGGGTTTCAAACTCAAGGCCCAGGGGATGGATCCGACCCACAGGGTGCTTAGATCTGGCCCATGTGGCCGCCCTGGCAACAGCAAAGGACCAGCCTGTGGTGCCTCTGCCAGGGAAAATGGAGCTCGAGAGGGCCACCCATGGCCCTCCCCAGCTCCGTTTTCCCTGGCAGAGGTTTGCAGATCATTGCAGCCAAAAATGGAGCTTGGTAGCCCATTTTTGCTGGCAGAGCACTTGGGCCACTACAGGCATTCCTGACACGAGTGTCCTCGAGCTGGCCACATCCACCCTGGCCCCCTCAAAGTCAAACACAACCTTGATGTGGCCCCTCAATGAAATTGAGCTTGACACACTTGCACTATTCTGTCATGTCTTCTTTCAGATTCATTCATTCATTCATTCATTTATATTCCATGCTTCTTTTTTACTATCCAAAGAGCATTAGGTGACCTAGGCCAGTGGCCCCCAACCTTTTGGGCACCAGGGACCTGTTCCGTGGACAGAGGTTTTTCTGTGAACCAGAGGGGGGTCTGGTTTCACCTGCTGCCTGTTTTGGCATGGGTTCAAGGAAAGATCCCTTCAGTCTGTCTTAACCAGAAACTGTGAGCCATATGCAGGAACAATTTACAGGTATATCAGAAAATAAGTTCTGGCCAAGGTGTGCTAGTACTGAGATTAATGCAAGTGGAGAAAATCTCTAATCATCAATGCAAGATGTTTTTATCAAGATAACTGCTAGAGATCACAATAATAATCCCACAACTCTGATAGCCAGTTCTAGCATGCTAATTCTCCTTGGGTGTTCCCTGGTTACTTCAGGTGCTGCAGGCCTCAAGGTCAGAACTCGAAGCTTTGGGCGTTTGCTTGGATATCATCATTATTTGGGCACCATCGTCCTATTGCAGCATTTGTCAGGGATGTAGCTCTTTTGTTATCAATTACACCTTCCTATTCCAACCTGCACTCCCCTCCATGCCTTTAACTGGTGAGGTAAGCTATTCATTAACCATATTTATCTCTTTTGGGAAAGTGTTAGAGCTGTGTTCCCAAATAGCTGAACCAACATATATCAGGGTGGGCTTGAGATTTCAAAATGGATGGGGTATACTTGCTCACTCCATGCTTCTCTCTTATACCTGTCTACCATTTATAAGTCAGGCCACCTGACAGATGGCAAGATATGCTGTTCTAAGCATTTGTTTAAGACTGCCCCACCCTGCCCCATGTTAGGAGGAGTGATGTTCTCCCAACAGATGATGCTTAGTGGAAGGGAAGAAATCTACCAAGGACAATGTCATTCACCATCCTCATGATTGTGGCAGAATATGGACTGGTAGCATAATTTAGGCCAGTATATGTTTACTGGCTCAAGGGCTGGTGGCTTGTAATTTATTGCAATCATGGAAAACAGACAGGAGGCAGTACTACATTTATCCAATTATGGATAAATATAGCAGACATGCAGTCTTCGAATATAAGTATCGCATATTACAAGATATGATTATATCTCTTTCTTACTAGGTATATGATCTGTTGCAGTTAACGATGGATTAAGTAGGTTTATTTTGCTGAATATATACCCTATCTTTTTCAGTATAACACTTTTTTGCCTAGCAAACCAAATAACCAACCATGCAACTACTCGAAGAAATTGATTCCATATGTATTTACCTTGTCTAAGTAAATTATAACAGTTCCTTTCTGAGCCATATTATTGTCAATTTCAAACTTGGAGATATATCCATTCACTCCTTTAGAAAGCTAAACAATGAAAGAAAAGAAAGGATGATATTTACTTCAATAGTTGCAGATGATTCAAATACATGGAATTGCAGATGATTGAAGCTATTTGTACTGGTACTGTGTTACATTTATAGCAAAATCTGAAAATATTTTCAAGGTTTCCTGAGACAACCAAAAAGAGTTTTAATATAATTAATTTGTCAAAGAAATTCCAATATCCTTCTTCTAGTCAAATTCACCCTACAATCAATTTCTGGGTCAGTATGGAAATCATTGCTTGTAGTCAACATCTGAGTAGTTTCCTTTTTCCTTTTTTTATTATTTTATAATATATAATACAAAAGTAAAAAGAAAATAGTAGGAAAATAGAGGATGAAAAAGAGAAGGGAAAAGTGTGAGGCAAGGGGAAAAAAGAAAGAAAAAGTATTGACTTCCTACTCCCTTTGATGCAGTAATGATAATAACATCAAATCTCAACTTTTTACTTTTGCATAATAATAATATAAACTAGCCATTTTTATAACAACAAACTTATTAATCGGTAAAGCCCAAAATCAAAGTTTCATTTTTTTCTACCACAAGCACAAAGTCCAGAAGTGGTTTCCAAGTAGAAGCAAAAGTAATTATATATTTTTCTTTAATCAAAACAATCAATTTGGCCATCTCTGCTAACTCCATCAGATTTTGCAATTGTTCATCCATTGTAGGAATCAAGGTGTCCTTCCATTATTGTGTGTAAAGTAATCTTGCTGCCGTCAACATATATAACAACATCAAAGTTTTTTTAAAAAAAGTTTCAAGTCTTTTTCCATTAGACCCAGAAGAAAAAATTCTGGTTTTATCTTTATATTCACTTTAAGAATTTTCTGTATTAGAATATGAATCCTACTCTAATATTTCTTTGCTTTATCACATGTCCACCACAAGTGATAAAATGTCCCTTCTTTACATTTAAATTTCCAACATTCACTTGAAATACCTTTATACATTCTGGACAACTTATTTGGTGTTATATACCAACGATATATCATCTTATAAAATTTTTCTTTTAGATTATAATTTAATGTAAATTTTATACCTTTCGTCCACATATTCTCCCATTGTTCCAGCACTACATTATATCCAAATATATATATTGCCCACTGAATCATGCAACATCTGAGTAATCTTCAAGAAAATTAAAATAACTGACTAGAGTCACAAAGTTTTGCAGAATCAAGACTTCATTACAAGAGATGCACTTTTCTGATTTTATTAAAAGATAATGCCTTTTATGTGTCATAGAAATAAATTTCAGCATCTTATTGATTCATTTATGGGTAATGAAATTTCATTCATTCTCTCTGCAGTTTAATTATAATACATTCTCTAATTCAGCATCTTCAGTGAACTATAGAAACAGCAACTTCAAGCCCCATCCAAAGCTTGCCTACCCTTGTAAGGTCTTCAACATCAGGGAGAAAACCAGTCAGCATAGAAACATCAATTATTGTCATTGTAGAATCAACTTCTCCCAAATACCTAAAATCAAGAATGGAGAAAAAAATGACCAAAGATGGATTTCCTAGTTCAGAAATAATTTCCTCTTCATTGCTATGAGGGCAGTGCTCTGTTTTTAAAAATGATTCATCTTGAAGGGGAGAAATCCAACTATTGTCATGTCATATAGGCTGGCTCTTAAGCCACCGCAATGTATGTGCTCCTAACTCCCATAACAATTTTCATGGAAGTTTTTACAAGGTCATGATTTTGGATGAAAACTGAGTAAGAAGCATTAAGGCACAAAATGGAATGTATTTTTGTTCTTTAAATGACAAAACCAAACTGAAGACCTATATTTGTCTCACTCTATAGTTCTCTTGGGTCCAGCTCAACATCTGATGGATTCATGAACAAGTTTGTGGAATTTTCCCATCAACATGGAATATATTTGCCATTACCTTCTCCTGGGTTATTTTTCTCAACTTCTGAGTCTAGCCTATAGTTGGAGGTTTCCCATTCATGTACTTGCCATCCTGCTGTAGTATATTGCAATTTCTACATCCCTAAATCAATCTGAAGGACCTGCAGTGACTTAAATCCTGCTCTTTGTTTTATCCACCACCAACAAAATGTTACAAATTAGGATGGTGCACAGAAAACAGATCAATATACAGTACAAGCAGAGATAAAGTATAAAGTTGGGAAACGTTTAACTATTTTCTTGTAAAGTAACAAAATTGCTTCACCAAGTTATTACTCTAAATATCCTGTTACAATCCAAAGTTTTCTTTAACATTCAATATTCTTACCTAGTGCAGATTTTGAGCTTGAGGGCTCCCTTGGCTCCCTTTGCCTGTTTGAAATCTAAACATTGCAAAAGAAAGGGAAAAAATCAGACTCTGTACAAATTCTTAGCAGTTTTTTAAAAGATGAAAGGTTTGATTGTCCAACTGGCCGTAACATCTCTTTTGAAAACCAATAATTAATCTATTCACTTTTACCCTCTATTTCTATAATTGATTGGTTTTTGAAAGAATTCTTGAAAGAAATCAAATGAATAAGGAATGTTTAACCAAAGAATAATAAATTAAATCCAGACCCAATTTCAGTCGCTGAAGAACTGGTTTCGAGTCATTGCATGACTGCTTCTGCTATTAGGCCTGATATGGGCAATCCCATTGGGGTACCTTGTACTTGCTTATAGATTTTTCCATTGAACTTGAAGTATGTGTTGTGCACAGAAAACACATCTTAGTGCCAAGATGCACAACAACATCAACACCACATTCCTTAGTAGCATTCTTGACAGTCTTAACAATGTACCTTTTTTTTCTGGAGGTGGTAGAACCAGGCAGATATCTCAGGCTCTTACAAAACCTACATATTCTGTCCTAAATAGACACCTCTTACAATTGACTCACCGACCAGAAGGGTACAACATCTGATGCAGACCATTCTGTAGCCAAGATAACTTCTTTTTCATGCACCACAATCCTCTGCCCAGTTGAATCGTTATCATCACAAACAGCTGAACCTGCCATGTTATTATCCCTCTTATTGGGCAGGGACATTACAACTATTATACAGGGATACACTCAAAACAACTTCTTTATGGTCCACTGTGCCAGATTCAACAATTATCCATACTGTCCTCCTGCAGAGTCTTTATGGAAGAGAGGGCAGAGAGCAGGGCAGCCCAATAGAACACACCTGCTGAGTTGGTCACTAATTTCAGCCTGAAGAGCTGACAAGCAAACTCTAGACAAGCAATCTGTCCATGTAAACCAGCAATCTACATACAAATAGGGCAGTATCCAAGCTTAAGAAAAGTACCAGCAGCACAACAAGTGTTGTACTGAACTTATTATATTAAGGTATTGAAAGAATACCATAGCAAGCAGTAAAAATATTAACCTAGTGAGAGTTGCCTTGAACTGCGAGATAAGACGCATAAAAATTTGATAAATAAATGTGGGTTCTGCAAAGGAAAAATGAGATAAACATGTAATAGTGCCTCAGAATCGTACACAGATATAAAACTGGTAAAAAATTGAATCCTGTTGTAAACCTATCAACATGAATTGAAAGCAGCCAAAAATCTCTGGAGTTAATCTCCCTTTCTGGAGTTTCTAAAATTAGGAATGCCATTAGGTCATTTTTCTTTTTTGGCACCTTTTACCTCAAATCTTAAGAGTTGGTGCAACTAGTTAGAACAGTGGAGACTTAGTGGACAACAAGAGGCCTTCTGGCCTATGGCTATTTGACCATCTGTCCAAATCCCAACTGGTTTGTTGACTGCAAGTACTGGATCTCAACTAAGTATGGTTAATAATATTTTCTATTAAATGAGAGACTTTTTATGAATAAATAGCAGAGAAAGCTTGTTCCACATTGAGATTCTGACACTGTGAACACTAAAACTTTAATTCCCACCCCCCACCCCCACCCCCACCCACCGCGCCGAAACTTCATTACGATCTATATTTCTAGGAAACCAAACTTACCTAACTGGACATTTTCAACAGAAACATCAAGATGGAATTTGTTGCAAATATTTGCATCTTCCTGCAATTGTGCATTATAGACCGTCAAAATTGTCATTGTTGCTTTTCCATCACCTGATGCTGACACAGTGAAGTCTTCATTGAGTTTGGTCTGAAAAGCAACCAGGGTTAACATGACCATCAACTGCAGTTCCTTGGCTATTTTGATTTTACTGGATTGTATTTGTTGTAACCTGATATGAGCTAGAGGTGGAATAGATTTCAAAATATAAGAAAGACCCAATCAAATATTTGGATGAAGAAACAACAATATATTGGCAAGGTATCAACAAAATCAAATCATAAAGAAAACTCCTTTCCTGCCACTTTCTGAAGACACAATGAATGTAAAACTAACCAAATTATTGTGCACCAATCTTTGCAATTTCTATGTATGTGTACATTCATAGTAATATAACGTGTATAGTAACTTTAAAGCACCTGAAATCTGTTTTCAGATGCAATGGAGAAGTGATTAAAATGTCCTCTTCTCCCAACAAAGTGGAGGATAAAGCTTCCAATAAAAGGGTATTGGTTATTTAGAAATAATGGTCTCTTAGAGGCCATTGGTGATAACTGGAAGAAAAAGCAGAGCGGATCCAGCTGTAACTGAGAGAAGTGTGCATGCTTCTTAAATCAAGAATTCCTAATGAAAGGAAAAGACTGTAAGAGCCATCGCTATAGAGAAAGTAATACAAGTAGTTCTTGATGTACAACCACAGTTGGACCAGAATTTTGACCTTAAGCGATGCATTCATTAAGTGAGTCATCATGTGACTGGACCCAATATTATGACCCTTTTTACAATAGTTGTTAAGTATATCACTGCAGCCGTTAAGCGAATCTGGTCGCTTCCACTTTAAAACTTTCTCTTAAGGTGTAATCCAGTAGCTGTATCACTATTGCAAACGTTAACAAGCGTTAACAAGCACTTTCCCTAATAGCTTCCTCCTCCTGCCCTCAGGCGCCATTTTCTGCATTTTAAATCGGAGTTAGTGTTACTTGCAATTTTTTCCTTTTTTTTCCTGATTTGCTCTGTCTGCAATCAAAGTAAAGATGTTAAAAGTCCCCCCATTTATTTTCAGCAGATTTTGGTCGCGGCTTCTAGGTCCGCTTTAGCGGAGTCATCCCTGGTCGGAGCAGCTTGACAGGCTTCAATAGGGAGCCCACACCCTTCGCGCCCCAGGATTTCTCCTAGCACACTTGGGGGGCTCTACCTCCGCCTGTTGGCTCCTCTCTCTCCCCTTTGCCCAGGGAGAGAGTTCCAAGCCTCCAGACAGCTGTTTTTTGGCTGTTCTGGGGCTTTTACGGAACCGGGGATCGGGCGCTCGTAAAAGAGCATCTTCGAGGCTCGCGGAGCCAACCGGAAGTCCTCGTGCCGCGGGTTTTTGCGGGTGGTTTGTCGGCCTTCTTTGGTCCCAAGCCGGTGGCCTTTGGCACTGGTTTGGAGAAACATTCGGCAGCCCGATGTCCTTCCTTCCCACATTTGAAACAGGTGAAGGGCTTTGATTTCGGTTTGAATTCCGCTCTCCCCTCGGCCATCTTAGGTGCTCCTTTACGGTGAAAGGAGGATGACGGGTCTCCTGCATGCCCCCCTCGGAGTCAGCTTCAGGCCAGCTCGATCTCCACATCCTCAGCTACTATATACCAACTCTGCAAATCTTCGGGGACTCCCCGGCCTCTACAGTCCTTGTATATCTCTTCATTCAGCCCATCTTTGAAGCTCTCCAGTAGAGCCGCTTCTGACCACCCTGTCATGTAGGGTGCCAGCTCGCGAGATCCTTGGGTATACTCTGCCACTGATCTCCGGCATTGCTGTATGCCCTTCATTCTGAGTCTCGCCTTCCATTCAGCTAGGTGGTCTTCAAACCACCTCCTAAGAGCCCCCATGAACTGGTTGTAGTTTCTCAGCAAGGGGGAGTTATTATTGTGGAGGACCACCATCCAGTCAGCGGCTGCTCCCTCTAAGACGTTCGTGACGCATCTCACTCGAGTGGCATCTGATAAGTAGTCCTCCCCTCAGTCCTGCATGTGGTTCCACACTTGGGTCAAAAAAACCCCCAAGGTCTTCAGATTCCCATCATATTTCCGGTTAGGGGGGGAATCTTTGGTTCTTACGTCTGCGGGGGGGGGCCTGCAAGGCTGGGGGTCCCTGGCCTGCTGCATCCCTCACTTGAGCTCCAGAAGCCTGAGATGTTCCTTTCTCAGCTTCCTCATCCTCTCCCCCACAGGCTGTTTCTTCCGGCTCCCCCCTGGGACCATCTCCTCCCTTCTCCACAGGGAACCCATAAAACTCACGGCTTTTCCAGCTTTCTTCGATATCACGGAGGAGTTGCAACGCCTGTGCCAACATGAGGCTTTCCTTTTGCTCTTGCAGCCACACTGCCTCTCTCTTACGGCAGTGGTTCTCAACCTTCCTAATGCAGTTTAATACAGTTTTAACCCTTTAATACAGTTCCTCATGTTGTGGTGACCCCCAACTAGGGGTGGGTTCTAAATTTTTTTACTACCGGTTCTGTGGGCGTGGCTTATTTTGTGGGCGTGGCTTGGAGGTCATGTGACTGGGTAGGCATGGCTAGCTGGTCATGTGACCGGATGGCCATGGCTATGTGTATAGGGACTACTCAGAGGGCTGAAAAAAGTCATTTCTGACAGGTCCTCGCACTTTTGACCGGTCCTCACACTTATGACCATCCTCACATTTATGCCCATGCAGCATTCTTAACAACTGTGTCACTCATTTCACAACTGCTTCTCTTCACCATGGTGACAAGATAGGGCAAAAACGTAAAATGTGAGGACAGTCGTAAGTTCGAGGACTGGTCAAAAGTGCGAGGACCAGTCAAAAATAACTTTTTCAGTCCTCTGAGTAGTCCATATGCACAAAAGGACTACCCAGAGGGCTGAAAAAAGTGATTTCTGACAGGTCCTTGCACTTTTGACCGGTCTTCGCACTTATGACTGGTCATCATTTATGCCCATTGTAGCATTCTTAACAACCATGTCACTCATTTCACAACTGCTTCTCTTCACCATGGTGACAAGATAGGGCAAAAACGTAAAATGTGAGGACAGTCGTAAGTTCGAGGACTGGTCAAAAGTGTGAGGACCAGTCAGAAATAACTTTTTCAGCCCTCTGAGTAGTCCATATGCATAAAAGGATACAGCAATAGAGAGAGAGATGAAGGAAGGGAAGGGAAATTAGAGTAGGAGTGAGGGTAAGAGAGGGAGGAAGAGAGGAGGAGAAGGAGAAAGGAAGAGGAAGTAGGGAGGAGAAGAGGGGGAGGAAGAGAAAGTAAGAAGGAAAGAAAAGAGAGAGGTGGTAGGTTTGAGGAGAAAGATTGCTGTACAATAAAAAAGATGAAAGGGAAGAAATCCAACCCCAAACAAATATAAAGATATTAAGATAAAGAATGAATTGTTAAACTTTAAAGAATGAAAGAGAACAAATATGAATAAATAACAATAATTAGAAACACACATACAAACATACAATGTATTTTCTTTGAACAGAGTATTTGGCCGGTTCACAAATTTAAACAGTGTTTAGTCATTTCAATTAAATTTACAATTTCTATATTTCCTTTTTGCCATATTTATTCCTCATCTATTTTTGTAAAAAACCAATATTACCCTTCATCCTCATCTCTAATCTTAATCAAATTCAATTTTTCCCTTCTATTCTATATTATACCCCTTCCCATTGTCATCTATTTTTATATCCATCCTCACATTGGTTAATTATGTAATATTACAGTTGTTTAATATAAATTCAACATTTTAATATAAATCAATTAGTTATATAACTACCTTTTTTGTATATTAATCAATATGAACATGAATATTCCAATTATTTCCATGCAATCCAATTTCTTACAAATCAATTAATTATATTTACCAATAATAATAAACCAAATAATTTCCCCCATATATTCCTCCAAACCACAACTTAACCATTTCTGCTCTCAGAAATACACAACTAATAGTATCTCAATTATTACAATTCCCTAGTTAAATAGAGCTTTTTTTGTTTTGTGTTTTAAAATCTTGAACTCTCCTCTTTTTCCCTAAATTTCCCATTGTTTGCACCTACCTTTTTTGGTGAGGAAAAAGAAAAGAAATCTGCCTGCCTAATTTTCCAACCTTGCAGCAACAGCAAAGCAGTTTCAGTTTCGTTTTTCAGCATAGCTAGGGGAAAAAAAATTGCTCCAGCACTCTTTGCAAACAAGCAGCAGAGCCCTGAGCAAAACAGCTGAGAGCAAATCAGCTGAGAGCCGGGAGCCGATCTAATCAAGGGCTAATTAGCCTATGCTGAAGGTCCGCGGGCCAATAAAATTACAAAAAAACACCGAACCATTTGTTAAATTGCTGACTCGCCCGCCCCTCACCCACCACTATTTATTGGCAATAAATAGTGGTGTGGAGGGGCGGGGCACCAGCAGAATCCCACCACTGGCTATAGGGCGGCCCTTTGAAGCCCCGCGGCAAGAATTTGAACAGGTTTTTTTTCCTCTAGCCATCAGCTGGGACTCAGGAGGCAGCAATAGATTGGGAGTGGGCGGGGTAAGCGAACGGCCAGTGATCCAACAGAGCAGAGAGTGAGGGTGAGTGAAGGGGTGGGGGGGACGAGAGAGGGCTTTGGCGACCCCTGTGAAATGGCCGTTCGACCCCCAAAGGGGTCGTGACCCCCAGGTTGAGAACCGCTGCTCTTATGGGGTCTGGAGCTGGTTACTCCCTGGGGGGTCTCCCCCCAGTCCGACATCCTTCCTACTCCTTTCGACCATCTGGCTTCCTCAGGCTCCTCTCTCAGCCAGAGTTTTTCCAACCATTTGGCAGCCTCTTTCTCTGCTTGAAGTGAAGGTATCGTAGAACCCGATGCTCCCATCTGTTCTTCTTCACCTTCCTGGTCTGACATGATCTGGATTTCAGTCCCCTCGGTGGTTATCCGGGATGACTGGAGTGAGTTTCAGCTTAATGTCAGGTGTGCTTCCTTCAAAGTCCAGGAAAGAATAAGCCAAACTCCATTATTTATAGAGTAATGTACTTTTACTAGAAAATGAAGTGAACGCAATCAAGGAAAAGCTGAAACTAAAGCAATAGGCGCGAAAATTGCATATAGAAAGCATCCCCTCCCACTGTCCATCATCAATCACCCAATCCAAAGGTCTTCCAGAGGTCAGGTGGAAGCACATCTGGCATCGTCATCAATCAGGAATACGATGACGGTTGACCCGATAGCCACTTCGGAGATTAGGTTTCGTTTCTTCAAAAATCCTCCAGCACGCTTCCCCCCCCACATGCTCTCTAATTCTCTCCCACCCGTTTCTTATGGCAGCCAAAGCAGTAAAGGCGGAGTGTTCTGTCCCCGTCTCCACACACACATACACAAACAGCCAGCCGAGGGTTAAGGAAGCACTTGGCACACACAGTTTGTTATCAGAAACTTGGCAGCAATACGAGGACTGACTGCCAAGTGCTTTTACTTCAAGAAACGGGAGTATCCCTTCACCAGATAAACAGCAATACACACAGTTTGCAAATAGTCCAGTTCAAAACAAGAAACCTTCGGCAGATTTAGGCGTTGTTCAAAGTGACTAGCCAGAGTTAGTTTTTGTCCGTCACAGAGTCTTAAATAGCCACCACACTCTCTTATATAGTCTCTGGGGTGTGGTCCAGTGACTCAGCTTAATCCCTGGCACGCCTCCTCAACTGCTGCAACCATTTATCACGCCTTCGTTGGCGTGGATCCAGGAATGACAGATCGCCTCCATCGCTATCATCGGAGACACCTGGCTCCTGGCTAATCTTCTCTTCCTCGGCCGGCACCTAAGGCATTGCCAGAGAGGAGGGGCCTGGAGAGGGAGGCCTGGCCGACTCCTCTCCTTTATGTTCGGAGCCTTCTTCCTCCAATAAGATAGGCTCGGAGGACGGAGCCACAACAGCGGAGGCTGACAGTGGGTGTATCTAGGCGCACCCACTATAATTCGCGCAGCTGCATTCTGGACCAACTGTAGTCTCCGAACACTTTTCAAGGGTAGCCCCATGTAGAGCACATTGCAATAATCCAACCGTGAGGTGACAAGGGCATGAGTGACTGTGAGGAGAGCCTCCTGATCCAAGTAGGGTCGCAATTGGTGCACCAGACGAAACCTGTGCAAAAGTTCCCCTAGCTGTCAGATGTTGTTGCAGTCTCACCTGTGAGTCTAGAAGGACACCCAAATTGTGAGCCCGTTCTGAGAGGGGCACTTTCTCACCTACCAGAATCAAGGATGGACAATCGACATAGTCTTTAGGGGGCAATACCCAGAGCCATTTGGTCTTGTGTGGGTTAAGTCTGAGCCTGTTGACTCCCATCCAGATCCTCACAGCCTCCAGGCACTGGCACATCACATCTACTGCCTCACTGAACTGATGGGGGGTGGAGATATACAGCTGGGTATCATCAGCATATTGCTGATATCCCACCCTGTGTCGTCGGATGATTTCACCCAGTGGTTTCATGTAGATGTTAAATAGGAAGGGAGAGAGGACCAAGCCCTGAGGCACCCGCAGATGAGAGGCCTACGGGTCGACCTCTGTCCTCCTACCAGCACCGACTATGATCGACCAGAGAGATAGGAGGCGAACCACCGCAATACGGTGCCTCCCACTCCTAGCTCCCTTAGTCGCCCCAGAAGGATACCATGGTCAATGATATCGAAAGCTGCTGAGAGGTCAAGTAGCACCAAGATAGAGGAATGACCCCTGTCTCAGGCTCGCCAGAAATCATCCATCAGCGTGACCAAGGCAGTTTCCATGCTATAGCCAGGTCTGAAACCGGACTGAAAATGGTCCAGATAATCGATTTCATCCAATGACCACAGGAGCTGAAATGCCACCATCTTCTCTACAACCTTTCCCACAAAGGGTAGGTTGGAGACTGGACAAAAGTTTTTTAATTTTGCTGGGTCCAGGGAAGGTTTCTTGAGGAGGGGCCTTACAACTGCTTCCTTCAAGGGCTGTGGGAAGGACCCCTCCCTCAAGGACGCGTTAACTAAAGCCTGGAGCCAGCCTCCTGTCATCTCCCTGCTGGCTGAAACCAGCCAGGAGGGGCACGGGTCCAACAAACAAGTGGAGGAACTCATCGCCCCTACAGCCTTGTCCACTTCCTCAGGAGTCACTGTCTCAAACTCCTCCCACACAATAGGACTAAGACCCGCCCCTGTCATCTCGGTCGGTATTGCCCAATCAGAGTCCAGGTCCATCCAAATCTGAGCGATTTTATCCAACAGAAACTGTACAAATTCCTCAGCTCTACCCTGCAAGGGCTCCTCCGTTCCCCCAACCTAAGGAGGGAGCGAGTTACCCTAAATA